CTTGCTCCGGATGATTGTGCGTGTTCACAACAATAATCTTCTTCTCCTTAATGATAGTTTGCTGCTTAAGAAATGCATAGATGTCCCCACAGCCACATCCCGTATCGATCATTAACACTGGAATTCAGAATTTGCAGTGCACAAAGAACGAAAAACTCAAGCATTCTAATTTTTTGAAATCTAATTTATGATACTTTTAAAAACGCATAGAAATTAATAAAAGTTTCTGCATCCTGAAAGCTGAATGCAGCCCAGCACCTGAGTAGAGGCCCTGCTCTGCTCCTTTTTCCGGCGTCTTAATGGCAAGCTGTAAAGTATGTCGAATTTCCCCAAGTAAAACACTACTAGCAGAAAGGGATTGTAGAAGTGTAGGCGCACTTTCTATAATGAAAAGTCTTCTTCAACGCTGCCTGATCTCTCGTCGAGCAATTAGAGAACACGCTTAGATAAGGGATGGACTGAGAAATGGGAACAGATTCTGGACCACCGCGCCTTCCCTAGTGATTCTCAAAGCGGTGAATGGAAGAGTAATGGATCAGTAAGGGTTAGGCGGAAGCGCAATAACCATTGGTCTCCGACCGTTTTCTACTTACTTTAATTACCGGACCTATCAGGAGTTTCACGCTACCGATGCCCGCCAACAACCCTCGAACTACACCCGCTCAGCTTTTGCTTGACAGGTCCAATACACCGTCTGCTAACCTGCCCTTGGCTTACTGCTGGGCAGTGAGGGCCCTCCTCCTTCGATTGCAAACCTCCAGAACTCCTCGAAAGTAGTGAGATTCGTGGCGCATCCCAAAATAGTCCAGGTGCGTTATTAGTGAAGTCGAATTTCAAGGAAATAAGGAGCTAAGCAAGAAAATGAGTTTAGAGTGAAGATTACCTTTATCGTCGCCAATGACCAAATAGGAGATCGGAAAGCAGGAACGTGTATCCTCCTCAAGAATACTCCACACTCTAGCTGATACCTGCCCGAGTTGAAAGGACATTTTGAAAAGGCCCTAGTAGGCCTCCTTGGATTTGCCTTACGCTGGAAAGAGTGTAGGGCGAATGGAGATGAGGCCAGTTGCTCGACTCTAGTTGATGCATTCATGATTAGGACGTCCATCGACGTGATGGACGGCAACTCCTTAATGATACATCGCTATGGGATCTTCCAGAATAAATAATTTTTGCACTACATGTCATGCAGATGATCAACTGCAAAAGGGAAAATTTACTTGAGACCTTTCTCTGATCTCTTTCTCGATAGTAAGTCGGCTAGCACCGACATTTTTGTACCTAAAACCCATTACCTACGGCATACTATCGGATTGTACGTTTTAGAGGCCCTTTTGAAGGATATAAGTGAGCGATGTACAAAAATGGCTCTGTAGGGCTGTTCAGCCGTCACGGTGCAAGTGTGAGGTTCCGGAAGATTTATCTCAACAAAGGCAATAATGCAGATTATCTGAAAAGCAGGTGGATGTGCAGTGGCACTAAGAAGAGAACGGTCTCAGTTCCACCAGAAACTTCAGGCGAGTCACGCTTCGCATGCTTCGCCACATTCAATGATGCTATCAACGATTCGAACCTGGCTAGTCGGGGTGTTGGAAACACCATAGGGGTGGTATGTTTGGTCGAGTAAACGATAAATGGGAAAGAGGAGTTCAATCATATTTTTGGCCCTTGAAGAAGACGAACAGGTTGAGGTTGAAAACATAATTAGCAACCTCGTCTAAGGATAGCAAACTGTCAGTGATACAGCACTTCCTTCAACACTTTATAGCTACGCGAAGAACGCGGAAGATCAAAGTCCTGCGCTGCGGATACTGGGGCGTGCCAAGGAGGGGGTTGCGCATGAGTCCACTAGCCACTAGCCGCATGAGTCCACTGTTCTTCACCAACTGTTGAAGCGGGCAAGCGACAACAGTCGACAGAAAAGGGTGGCACCGTGCAAGCACGTTCTCCTGACATGTCCCAGCATCAGGCAGTGGTAAAGAAATGCGATGTGCACAATGTCGTGCAGTATCATATGGTGCCGCATCAATACAACTTGAGGCACTTAAAGGCAGCTGGCACGATAATTTCGGTACTCAGCCTAAAATGCTAGCAGGGCGCTATCTAGTGGTAAAATGGCGAAAAAACGAAGTGAAACGGTCAAAAACTGCGAAGAAAAGCCTTCGTTCTTGAGAAGCAATTTCGGACGAGTTTCCCGTAGGCGTATTGCAAATAACCGCTCCGGCAGGTACGGCTGCATGTATGTACTCATATATCCATTCAGCACCGCAGCCGCTTCATACTAATCCCTTCGCTTCATATTTTACTCAGCAAATGAAGCAAAACGAGCATCTGGTAAGGTCGTCCATTTGTGGGCGGGCGGGCGTTTGGGTCGGAATGTTGTAGCTTGATAGGACCCTTATAAGGGTACCTCCCTCGGAAAAACCGCTATGCAGCGCCTACTCAGGGTCGCGGAAATCCGCCCTGCCACTCGTATCAATCCTACTCGTTTTCAGGAGATTTATCGTGCCAACTGCCTTTAGGCGGAAAACATCTATTGAATTCAAAAAATTTGAAGCAGCTTGAGTCCTCCCGTTGGTTAGTTGTTATATTACCCGTCGCGACAGCTACCGAGTACCTTTGTAGTTTTAACATTACCCAGTGCCTTTGCAAATATCTTGTGAATCCCTTTTTGTTTTAGTGGGCAAGCGAGCCCATGTTATATACTGCGCGACGTATCTAAAGACAACGTAAAGCCGTTACTTTTCGATAACTGCTGTTTAAAGCTGCAGTGCGCAAGTCAAAAATCATCACAAGAGTGCTGAACTGTGGGCAAAAGACAAAAGTTCAAAATCATAGCGTAGGGGTAGGGGGAAGAAATTTAGTTCCGGCTGCTTGAAATTCTTCGGTCAAAAAGGAACCGGCTCTGGTCAAGAAGAAGTAGATCCGTGTTTCGACCCTGTAGCTTGAATCACAATCGTGTTAGTAGATAAATTCAGACTAAGCTTGTTACGAATTAGATATTTTGGCATGAGCACGTATGCATCGAAGCTTTACAATGTGATCACAAGAGTGCCGAATTGTGGGCAAAAGTCGGACAGCGGACGGGATTCAAACCATGCCTGTTGTCCGACACTAAACTTTTTAGGCTTGCACGTATAGGGAGTTACGAAGCAGCGACTAAGGAGTCAAACGTCGAATTCATAAAACAAAAATAAAATATAATTTCATAAAACAAACAAATTTGAAAATATTGTTTCCGGACATGGCTATGTATCCAGTCGCACTACTGACTACATGAAGGAACGAGTCGAGGCCTGTATTAAAACAAATGACACTAATCTCGAAAATTCTCTAGTTTTGTGAAATTTCTTGGTTCATACTCTTATGAAAATAATTTTCTTGAAGAAACTGAATGTAGCGTTCTCATGAAGCGCGTATTTTTTGCCACTCTGCCTTCAGGGCTTTACGATAACCAAAAGGAACAATTTCAAAGCGTAGAGAAACTATTTGGAAGCTTTCAATGCGTGGAAGGAAACCATCAATATTCGAATTTAATTCAGTACTGCTCAATGGGCTGTTTGATTGTTGCAAAGACGATTAACATGTGCATAACACAAATGAATATTCTACCTTGAACACTAGCAGTGCTCTATAAAAGTCAATCATGCTAGGTATGCAACGTCACTTTTCTCTCCACTACCTCTTCCAGGCAACGCACCCTCATCCCAACTACGCTTCATTCTTCTGAAAGTTTTCTCAATGAAGGAAACTTGTATGCTTATCAAATTTTTTTTTGCAGGATGAAAACAGCTCTCATCTTGCTCGCAGCAGTCGCAGCTTCCGTTGCTGCTAGCGAAAGCAAAAGTTCCAGATACACTTTTTATCAGAGAAACTATCGTTTACCGTTCATGAGAGGTATTACCTTCAAAGGCCGAGTTGAGTACGATGACATCCTTTTCGGGAGAAATCTCACACTCGCTCAGGAACAGGAAAAAATCGCTGCTTGGGCAAAAAAGTATAATCGCACAGTACGTTCAGCTCCTCCTGTTTACCGTGACAACGCAGCTTTCAGGAGACTTTCTGATTTGTTCAGGAGCCAGGTGAAGAATTCAGAGCCGAAAGGATAGCAAGGCTTCAAGCAGCTTGAGCAGTCGGATCGGCCAAATGTGCGTTGCAGTTTCGCAGGCGCACTTCCAGGAGTACTTGAAAATTCTGAAAAGTGCAGATAAAACCATGGCGGAGATAAAGCAAGAAGTGAAAAACCTGAACAGCAAGCATAAAAAGGTGGGAAAACTCGCACTTTCCTTGCTCTAAGACATCCAATTTGTTACAACTTTCGCAACTAGAATGTGGTTCTGACAGTATGGTAGGACTTGGGCAGGTTGGTTTCACGTGTTGCTGGACGCTCTGTACAATTTTAATGATTGGCCGCACACTCGACCTAAATATTATTTCAAGCATACAAGACATCTCAAACTTCGTAAGCGGGCCCTGGCTGCTCGCAATGGAAAGACCAGGGCGAACGGTAGGAGATTTTGAAGGATTATATCGGTCAGAGTTAAGGTAGAAGCTAGATTTCACCCAAAAATAGCGCATATCGGCGGCCGGGGCATCTCGCACTTTCCCGCTTTATTAGCTCTTGTGTGCAAGTCTCACTCAGATGAAAGGTGTGAATTTCTGTGAAGCTGGAGCAAACTCGTCGAGCTCCCACGCTAGAACCTGTCAGCTCTTCTAGCTTACGAAATGGCGCTCCAGAAGGGTTGAAACGTTCGGATTCAGGCAAAAGTGGGCAAATGCGCTTTGCCCTCGTCGCCGAACTGACTGCTCGCTGTAAAATAGTTCATTCCAGTTTCAGTAGTTACCGTTAGAGCTTGCGATGTTAGCTTGACACTCACCGCTTATGTATGAGTTTAAAAGCAAACTGTTCACTCACTCAGCGGATCCTGGCCCTTACCTGAGAAGAGAACAGGGTCTTTGGGAGCGTATTACTTCCTTCCTCCAGAAGTGAATGGTATTGGGGCCAACGGGTACTCATACCTCCGTGCCGAATACATACTCCTCGTGCTCCCGCACGGCCAACAAGCGCCCAGCCATAACCAAACGCTTTTCTTGGCCCTCCCACATCTAACCGCTGAGTGCGTGTTTAGCTACGGGACCTTAGTAACAAGCGCTGCACCGCAAGTGCCGAGGATAGCACGGGCAGAGTACAGTCCTGATCAAACGATGGGGCGCGTGACGCAATGCGTACGAGGGTAGCGAGGACGGCTCTGTTCAGATTCCTTCGAAGAACCTTTCTACTTTTGCATGGAGGTCTCTCCTGAAATACGTTCAAACCTCACCTCAGAGTCACTCTTACAGGTTCAAAGAAACATTGAAGCCTTGACGGCCACGGATAGACTCGATGCAGCAACGTTTTCCATCCAGTTTTCCTCCTGTGTAAAGTCGAACCAATAAAATATCTTCACTGTTTTTACAGCTATTGAGGAAATTTGTAACATTAATAGTTAGTATATACTTGACCAGCAATCAGTATGGTCAACCCTCACTCACCTTCAGCCTTCACCCTACTACCGCTAGTGTGAATCATCTTTGTCAAGACATCTGCACGCTCACTTGACCGTTTAGGGCTCCTCAGTGAATGAATGAGGGTGAGGTTCTATCAGTTCCATGCCACAAAAATGCCATTAGGCACGGCCAATTAAGCACTAGAGGAGTCCACTTGAGCCGAGCTTCACAGTGGAGGTTAGTTTCCACTAATCACACAATAAACGACTCGGGGGAGCAAATTTTCTTAGAAGAACGGTCGCTAAACACTGAAGACCCTCCTTTACCGCAAACTGTTTGTAGGTTTCTTTGATGCCAATTCACTTGAAGCAATCACTGATAGTAGCGTGATTCCTGTGGTATAGGATCCAGCTTTCATTCACCGTTGCCATTTTTGTCTGTCAGTCCCTTTTATAAGGTTTAGGCTGTGGACACGGTGGCTGAAGGCGGGTGGTTGCTACCA